AGGTAATAATTAATAGTGTAAATGATAACTTCTAACAAAAATATATATAAAAGACTGGGGTCCATACTGTTCCCTTATCTGGACTTGCCTCTTTGCATCCATGGGCTCAGCACTCAGTACAGCCTTGGAGTGAATGAGTGAGTTTAGTTTTACACCGCTTTTAGCAATACTCCAGCAATATCACGGCGAGGGACACCAGAAATGAGCAAGGCTAGAGTACAGTGTACGAAGCCCGTTTCCTCCGTCGTGATGTTGCTTTATTAATGTTGAACCCGGCGTAAAACCCGACTTCTGGATGAAGGAGGAGATTCTCAATTTCAGTTGGGAGTGTGATCAGCCGATAGCAATCCACATCCCACGACAAAGATCGGAGTTTGATTTTCCTGAACGGTACACGATGTGAATCTTGGACTCTCTTGTTTCTCTTGTCCTCATATAGCTTAGATATTCCTAAAAGCGTCATAAAATCATACTCACGCAATCAAGACACATTGACAATACAGATTGACTGTGAGTGAGTTTAGTTTTACGCCGCTTTTAACAATACTCCAGCAATATGACGGCGGGGCACACCAGAAATGGGTTTCACACATCTTACACATGTGGGGATTTGAACCCGGGTCTTCGGCGTGCCTAGCGAACGCTTTAACCACTCGGCTACCCCACCGCCCCACAGATTGATTGAAACATGGTCAAACTTATATCCAGTTGTTCAAAGTACGCTTTAAAGTGTAGTATTAGGCTAACTAATTGCAACGGACGGTTCCAGATAGTTTGGCTTCGGGTATTATGTAGAACACCTTTTTTTAAGGTACAAAGTACCTGTGAAGATCTGCTTTAGAATTGGTCTTCAGCAACCCATGCTTGTCGTAAAAGGCGACTAACGGGATCGGGTGGTCAGGCTCGCTGACTTGGCTGACACAGGTCATCGTATCGCAATTGCGTAAATCGATCCTCATGTTGTTGATCACTGGATTGTCTGGTCCAGGCTCGATTATTTACAGACTGCCGCCATATACCAGGAATATTGCTGAGTGCGGCGTTAAACTAGAAACCAACCAAGGTACAAAGGGAACAACTACAATCGGAACATCTTCTGTGGGATCAAGGCTCCTGTACCGAACAGTCCCTCCAGGGAACTGAGCGCTATCTGCATGTGTGTGCCGTTAACGTGTATAGTGTATAGGTGGGTTACACGAAACAACGGAGACCTCTACCCGAGTTACCGCAGCCTGCAGTCTGTCGGGTCAATAACGAGTCCCTCCCTGTCTAAAGTAATAACGTAACCGGAACGACAATTGCTGCAACTACCTTGGTTGTGTCGGAGAGGCCAAATTGACCAAAATACTGTCTCAATCGACTCTTGATGTCAATTTGGCTGCCACGTGCAACACCTCAGGGCGCTGTGATGGCGCGAGAGTTGAACATCAACGAGAAGTACGCTATCAATCCACCAGGGTGTTGTTTACCCTGACAGCCGAGACTGAGGCTCGAACACACGGCTTATTCTCCAATATAATGCCTTTCTCTAGCTTGTCTAATTCCACTGTGTGTAGATACGTGAAGAAAATATTAACACAGCTATCGCATGTTGGATCAAATTAGACCAGCTTTCTATAAGTATCCATAATGGAGCCCAAACTGCCGTGCTAATAAGCCCTAGATGAGGATACTAAATTTAACAGTGTGCAACAAAACATTACGATCTGATGAAGGAACATATCTAATTTTAATTCAAGGACAGTGTACAAGTGCATATATATATTTGTGTATATTCGTAATATTTTGGCTTTTATATTTAAAGACATTGACTTAAAATATGTATCAATGTATTTGCCCTTTTGCTACGAAATATTGAAAAAAAGTCCAATTTTCACTTGATAAAAACAATGTAAAAATATGTATAAATCTGAAGTCCAGCCAAAAGTATCTTTTAGGTGAGCATGAATAATATATCTGTTGAAAAACTCCCCGATCCAGCTCAGCTGGTTCTCCATCTATACCATATATAAATACATATATCACCTATGACGGCCAACTCGGTCTGTGCGGTAAGTATATTTGACAGCCTGTCTCCCCTCAATCTATAACGAGCGGGAAAGTGCAGACACTTGTAGCCAGAAGATCCTTATTCTAATTGAGCGGTATAGACAGCAATGGATGCTGATAGGACCTCTTCGACGCTTAGGGCAGTTTGTCACATCATTAAGAGAGGATGGCAGTGAGGGCGACGTTTGGAGCCATGCACTGCTTGTACTACAGGACTGCTAAAACATTTGAAAATGCATGTAGCCTCACGATCGGTCGCTTTCAGAGAATACTTACTGTAATAATGGTTAAAACATCTTAAAATTAATTTCTTTTGATCTGTATATTCTTGGGATTTAAATAGTGGTTGCCTGGTGAAAACCTATTGACCGTTAAACATGCTCGATCTGGGATCTGGAAACTAGACGCGTATATCATTCAAGTTCTTAATGGTGCCAATACAGAAAGTTCATTTTAGTTTTGTGTTAAGGCCATGTGAAGAGGAATAGTCTACTGAATTCCGCGTGATTGATAAATATTAATTATACTGAAATAGCTTTAAAGCTCGTATAGGTCCTATTTGTTGCACCGTGTGTGTGTGTGTGTGTGTGTGAGAGAGAGAGAGAGAGAGAGAGAGAGAGAGAGAGAGTTACACATACTATTTTAAGTAAGTATAGTTTTTCATGAATGTATTTATAAACCCATGAACAGTATTCCGTCATCCAAGTACCTACGACACCGTTTGATGAGGTTTTGTCAGTGTTTTCCATGATGCTTTTAATTAAACCTGAAACTTTCGCTCAGTATCATTATATTATTATTCGGCATGTCTGGTCCCAACACTGGGTGGGCTTTTATTGACGTCAAGGCCAAAGCGACCGTGTACAAAAGTATATAAGTCACAAACAAAGTCCAAAGAAGGCATTTGCAATTACAGTCATGTTATTGTAACCAAATTGAGTAGAACGCTGCTCATGATGTTGATCACTGGATTGTCTGATCCAGACTCGCTTATTTACAGGCCGAGGCCATGTATCTGAAAGATTGCGGAGTGCGGCGTTAAACAACAAAGAAATCCGTTCTTGCGGGCGTCACAACTGCGGTAAACATCCAGCACATACATCAGATCGTGCTCTCCTCCTACACAAAACTGACACGCAGTAATATATCTGTGGAACTGTGGAGTTAAACCCATCGTACCCATGATTGGGGCGGTGTTTCAGGCTAGTGGTTAAAGCGTTTTGACGTCATACAAAAGGCCAGGTTTAGTTTACATCTTTTCTGTTCCCCACCGTGATGTTGCTGGAATATTTCCTAAAAGCGTCGTAAAACCCAGGCTACCTCGCCAATAGACATCATTGAGTTTACCGAAGAGGTGAACCATGTTTGGAGACAGCCTGTTTCAGTATAACGCATTTCTAGTAAATATGTTATTTGCAATATCCATTCACGAGGTTCCCAGTGATCAAACTGAAAATTACAGGCGTTGAACACACGGAGAACTTCTGTTAATTAATATAGAGATTCATAAAATAGTTGCTTAGGGTGAGCAATTCTACTTGACATATCCAATCCTAAAATTGATATACCTTTTAAATGAGTTGTCTCATTCGCCTGAATTAAACAATCACAATATCGAAACTTGGAACAAAATACCTAAGTAATTTCAAAAGCCCATACGCTTGGCAGCCTAATGAATAATTTGAAATACGCCCATAGTGAAAACCACACAAGCGCGAGGCAATAACGCGGATACAGCGATCGAAACCACGGTCGCATAAATCACATCACTCTATCTAATCTGCAATGAAGGCCTGATCTACACGCATGACGTAAGTTATTGGTCAATAAGTTGCTGCTGTTTACGGGGTTTCGGTGAAGAGTTCTCTATAACGATATCAGTTGATACTGTTCTCTGAACAACACATGGACTGAGAGGAGCCATCTTTCAGTGTTCTCGAAGATTGAAACACCTGCTTTACAATGGTAATAGTGTTTAAAGGACATTGTGGTGGGATTTTAGGGTGGATTCGGGTGGAATTCAGGGGTTCGAAATATCCTCCTTTTGAAATATATCTCAGTGATGCCTCTATATACACTCAACAGACAGACACACACAACAACAACAAACCAAAAAACATTCTCACACTCACAAAGACGCGCGCGCGCGCTCCCACAAACACAAAAAAAACCACTCACACACACATACACCGCATCACCTTGGAAATGTGAATCTTCCAACGTCCAAATATTCCTTCCCACTGAAGGTAACAATTAAAATATGTCACTACCTTATGATTATATTTTTTTAACTTGGTCATCAGTGCTTTATGCGCAGTAATACGTACTGATCTAACGCATAATACCAATTAATATTATGTTGTTATGAACACATTCTTGATTACATTCTTTCTTTAACAACAAAACAACAACAGAATAATACCACTACAGATACGCACATCATTATTATCCTTGTTATTATCATTATTATTATTATTATTATTAGATGACATCATTCGTGTCCAGCTCATATTAATGCATTATTTGTTGAGGTGTCTTGAAATTGGCACGGGTACACACATATGGTTGTGATTATCATTTAATAACACAGCAAAACACGATCTTTGTATGGATTTCTTGTAAAAATCGTAAATGTGAAATCAATTACATATTTTATGAGAATTAGAGAGTTATGCATATTTGCGCAGTATTTTTAAAATTCAACACATGAACTGTGATCGTTTGGTTTGGGCAACTCAAGATCGTTGTCTCCAAAAGACTCTAGAGATATAACAACACGTTATTTCAATGAAAATTGAAAGCAAACATCATCTGTTTCCTAATTTCCGCTCAGGAAATATTCAGACTTTGTGAAATACAACATGATTAAAAATCCAAGTTTTTGAATTTCGCGCGTAGTCTACCCAATCGTAAACCGGAAGTATGAATCATAAGGGGCCCGGATGGTGCATTAGTATAGCCAATATGGCGACTCTTGTGTGAATTTACCAGGTGAAACGGAGGAAAATATTGAATGGAGATGCTGTCGTTTGTTTACAGCTAGTGTTGGCGACATTTCATATCTAGGAGATACATTTACTGGAGGAGTGTGAATTCTACTAAGGAAAATGACGACGGATAAGGTTAAAGTCGCTGTTAGGGTTCGCCCTATGAATAAGCGAGGTAAGAACAGGCGGCGATCATTATGAAAATTTCAGTAAGCACATCGCGAATAAGGATTTTACTGTTTTTTAACTTTTTAGTTAAAAAATTTGTAACATGTACTTTATTGTACGTTTAATTCAGAGCTGGATATGACAACGCAGATCGTGGTGGATATGGAGAGAGATCAGACGATTCTACGTCCATTAAAAGACAGGTAGGACGCTGTCACCTCATACGATTGTGTAATATTATAACATCACATAACACGCTTCAAAAACAACCTCATTACGAAATAGTATTAAAAGTCCTATAAAACAATCTACATTAATTCATATTTCTCACATTTTCTTGATTTCTACTGTACGCTGATTGGACCGATATGGATTGTTTATTGGGTACCATGGTCGTGGGTTGCCACGCCCCCACAGCCAAAGGCATTATTTGATGTATGTAGTATTACTCCATCAACAATGTAATTGTTTATATTAGGCCAATTATAGAATACCAATTAACACCATTATATAATTGCCTGCCATATAAGTAACTGTTATCTCCATCAGAAGCAGATGATAAGGGGCAGGTGAGAATAACAGTGTATTGTGACTTGGCAGGGTATTGTCCAAGTTGCATCTTGTTACATATTAATCCTCTGTTATGTATCATTTAGTAAATGGGGATTTGTACCTCATTCAGATAAGATTAGATGAAGATTGTGTGAGGTTTGTTGTGAGAGTATGCTAATCCAAAGATGATGTAAGTTACCTGTTGCTGTGACATGGTGGACATTCGGTGTGGACACTGGACAGCTGTGATTCAGAGCAGTTCTGCTCATTATCTATTGTGCCAAGGTTTAAATAAGAACAGCCAATGTCTAGTTACTTCATATCTTATTTTTTCTACTGGCATGTTTTTTTAACTCTGTTTGCTGGTGAAGTGATAACAATCACACATTTGGTAATATGGTCCTTTTTCATTTGTTAAAGTCTTTTGCATACATCTATATCACAATACATATTACTGTCTACTGTCTTTCTGATACATGTATTGCCCACCTTTTCTCCAACCCCAGCCCCACCCTGTCCTCGTCCCTGTCCCCATTCCCCTCGCCAGCCCTGTTCCCGTCCCCGTCCCCATCTTGTAACCCAACTGACTAGTGATTATGTCTCTCCTTCCCTGATACTTGTGTCACGTTATTGTGCAGGTTACCTGCCTACAGAACCATATCTGTTCGTACCTGAAACACAAATATTTCTAATATTATGAATTCCTGGTCAGTCATGTCACAGGTTAATCTATATATTTGATTTAATTTAATGCTTTACAATTGATAAGGGTAATAAGACAGGTCTGAGTGAACTCTGAAAAGATTGTTAATAATCTGAGCCTAGTTCCTGTAAGACGATATGATATTCATTAAGGTTACGTTGCCTTGAACACACCTTGCATTGTAAATCAATTATGTTGATCGGTAGTCCAAGTACTTTTGCCATTGTTATGACTCCCCTGCTCCAGTCTGCATTGATCTGTGGCGCTGGCATGATGCATGCCATTCAGTGGTAGTACAACCAAACCCACCTGTTCTACTGGATCCTACATGCCAAATGAAAGCTATAGCACCTTCTACAATCTCTCAGATGTCTTCCAGATGATGATAATCTCTGTTATGTTAATGCAGGAATCTTTATGTTGATGAATACATCATACTCAGGGTTATTCAGTGCATCCTTGGGAGCACTGGAGGAGAGATAGATTGAACTTGTAGCTGATTTCCATATCCAGTGTTTATTTTGTCTTCGCTAAGCTGTGTAATACTTTTCTTATTATGTTTGAAAACGCTGGCAGAGGGTAATATTCACAAAGTTATTGGTCTGGGGACTGTATGATAGAGAAGAATAACATTGTTAAATGTCATCTCCATCACCGCTTCATCAGTAATCATCTGAAACAATTCCACATCTCGTCCTTGAAGTAGTCTTGGACTGTGAGGTAATTGAGTGCTCCAGTAGCTCGCATCACTAATCTTTATGTCAAAGCACATTACCAAAAAGAAGGAATAAATGTCAGAACTCAAACCTGTCTCATATCATATTGTTCCTCTATGTCCTTTGCTTTGAAAGATCTAATCCCAATCAGTTCACTCTGATCATTGATATTTATATTGTATGTTCCTGTTCTGAGCACTTAAACCAGTGAGGCTTATTAGTTTGGAAGAGATACTTGTCTGGATGTTTGAAATTACATGAGGTAGTTATGTTTTTGGTTGTTTTGATTTCATGACATAAATTCATTGACTGTCCTGGATGACAAAATTCCTGATCTTGAAGTGAAATCAAATGCTGACATGAGTTCTACAACAAGAATAAACATACATGGTATTCTGGCATTCAAATGTCCTGTACAAATAACTGAATTATGGAAGCCATGATTTCCTTAAGCCAAAATCTATACCAGCATTTGAGAAGTTTTTATGATGTTATAAATATTTTATAGAGTCTATGTGTATATTCATATAAACATGTCTATGACATTTCCTACTAAAATCACTGTGTCCTAGAGTATGAACCTATCTGAAACCCTTTGGAAGGTTTTTCATTTTTGAATATGTATATTATGTAAACATGCTCTGTCTGCTGAATTCCACAGAAACTGAAAGCTTTCCTCTTCCCCTTACAGTCCTTTTAACACCATTATGATAAAAAAGGCTGAACTAGTTGTGTTTCATATTTTACAGCCTATTTATATCAATATGATTCTTTGAATTGACCATACTTCAATTATTCACAACTTCTGGTTGTGTAAGCAAATAACTTGATTTTGAAAAAAGATGTAACTGCTCCTGAGCTTGTGGGTTAGTGATGTTATTGTAAGTTGTTGTAAACTCATACAGATACTTGTGGGCGTAACTACCTACATGTATTGTTAATAGTGGAGACTTGTCGACACATTGCCTTTATTTTACATTTTCAGTTTATAAATATTGTGAATATGTTTGATGTAATTTTTGGGATATCCTGTTTTCTTTAACATATCTTTGAATATTGTCTTCTTTCAGGAGTAAATAGTTATTTTTTGTTAACTTAACACCTGAAATTGACAAAAAAACCTTGGGGAAACATACAGACAAAAGTATGTTACCTTGGATAACCTGTTTGTTGTTTGGGCTTTTTAAATAGAAAAATATCAACGGATGTAATATATTATAACATTCCTTATTGGAACTACATAATCATGATAATGTGCAATGTTCATATAGAAGAAGATTTCAAGAAATATGAGTCTGAAGTGTTCTCTCAGCTTAGTAAGATCATCAGCACAAGGTCAGATATTTTTCTCCTAGTTTATCCTTTGAGAAGGTTGTGACAATGGAAATGTTTCTTGTTTTTTTGGGTTTTTTTTAAAAATGGTTCTAAAAAAATTGCTACTCTTCCAGTGCCCCAATGTTTGATGTAGGCTTCTGTAGTGTCTGTGGCAAGATGTCTGTGAGTGATGCAGATGCTGTAGACGTCCATGTGGATGGGGGAGAGGAGTACAGGATGTAAAGCGATCCCCTCTTGTTTATGTTCAGAGAGGGATCTTGTAAACACCTGTACAGAAAACTTTCCTGTAAACTTGCAGCCAGGTTGTTTTGTTTTCTAAGGAAATGAATCGTGTATTTAAGTTTCCTGTATATTCTATGTTCATAGATGCTTTATTGGACAAACTATCGGGTTCTCTGCAGAGACATAGACATCACAGAACTGATACTAGTCTATCTTTCCATGTGAAATGTTTCACATGTTGCTGTAGGATGTAGGGGATACTCACTGTAGGATGAACAGGATGCTGTCTGTAGGGGATGCTGACTACGATTCAAGGGTTGCCATCAGTAGGATGTAGGGTTTGCCATCTAAGGATGTGATGCTGGCTGTTGGATTTAGGGGATGTTGTCTGTACGGCATAGGGGATGGCATCTGTTGGATGTAAGGGATGCTCACCGTAGGATGAACAGGATGCTGTCTGCAGGATGTAAAGGATGCGATCTTTAGGATGTAGGGGATGCTGTCTGCAGGATGTGATGTATGCAGACTGTTTGATATAGGGGATGCTGACAGCTGGATGTTATGGTAAAGCGGTAGTCAACAATATATGTTACTAATCCTTCCGAGTTCAATCTCAGAAGAGAAGACTTTTGCTAATTTTGAGCCTTGAGTTACAGCTCTTCCATGTCTTGATAGGATTTGGAGGCCAATCCTGAGTAAAGTGTTTTCTCATGTAAAAAGCCAGTAGAAGCATGGTCCATAGACTTCCAAATGAAAGTTAACAGTGTCTGTCTCCTGAGGTTTTTAGTTAAGTTCCCCTTTCAGATCCTTCCTTTCTCATTTGGAAGCTCAAACGGAATTTAGACCCCCTCCACATTTTGTTGATACAATTAATATCCTGGCCTTTGAATGGCATATGATCATATTACTGTGAACCTAAAAGTTATTAAGATTGATTTCTGTGGAATGAAGTAACTATTATTGATGTCTAAAAGTTATTTTCAGAAAGTTAAAACAGCGCATTGAGGGAAGCTGTGAACTACTCCTGCTGACTATAGTGTTGAGTCTGTCAAGGCTTTTGTAATTAATCTTTTTGGTTTATTCATTTTCAATTTATATTCCATTATTTAGTCAATATATAATTATTACCTAATTGTACTTCTCGTGACTGATGTTAGTAGTACAAACAATCTAAAGTTATCACAGAGACAACGTTCAAGCGTTACCTCTGTCTGTTTAAATCCTTGTTGTGTCAGTAAACCCTTGTGCCTCAGATTTGATCTCTGCTAAGTGTAGGCATTGCTACTGGTGCTATGTCAATGGCTCTGTTCAGCCTGAACTTTGGACACCAAGTATATTAATGATTCCGGGCCTTGTGCTATCATATGACAGAATCATTCATTTGTTTAGCGATGCTGTTTGGATTAAGCCATGTATGTATTATTTCACAGGGACTGTTGCCTGTTCCATGTAAGTGCAGTTACACTTGAACTGTTAAGGACATACTTTTATGGATAACAACTGCTTTTGCTTTTTGAGTGTGACATTTTGACAACGGTACAAGAATGAGTATCAAAACGTGGCACACATGAAATGAAAGAAAATGTTTCCAGAATAAATGATTGTCATTATTGTACTTCCCAACTTCTAAAAAGCAGTTGACAGAATCTGTTGCTGGTCAGATTTAAGCCATGCA